GATACTTAATAAAACATGTGATATAGAAAGACTGTACTCAAAGGATTAGCACATTGGTTTTTATTATGAAATGATATTAAAATATAAATATAATTTTAATATTATAATTAAATTTATATTTAATTATATTAAATATATTTATTTATTTTTATAATTAAATTTATAATTTTAATTATATTTAATATAAATATAATTTTAATATTAAAATATTAAAAATATAACCTTTCAAATTAATAACTTAGAGAAGGTTAAAAAGCAACAATAACTGAAGCAAATCCTATTTCAAACTTTATTTGAAAATAAAAATTCAAGTGTGTGAATGGGAAAACAACATAAGAAATAAGTGTGACCCTTCTTTTAGAAGAGAAATAAATCAATCTAAATAAAATAGTAAATAAAACCAAGAAATGAGTGATAAGAGATGCAGAGACATTTTAAAAAGAAAATGCATATATATATACCTATATATGCATAATATATAAATAAGTAAAAGAAGAAAATCTATACTTCTCCTTCTCCTCCACACTGGCTCATGCTCTTTTGCTCTCTCTCTCTCTCTCTCAAATTTTTTAATAGATTTAAAAAAACAAACCTTGAAAATGTAAAATGGGTACCTGTGTGGCTCAGCATGGAGCCTGCTGCTCCCTCTGCCTGTGTCTCTGTCTCTCTCTGTGTCTCTCATGAATAAATAATAAAATCTTCTTAAAAAAAGAAATCTAAAAGAAATGTGTAATTTGAAAGTATGTGTGATTTAAAGATTGACTTGAGAAATATAACAAGTTAAGTGGACTTATGGAATAATTTGGAAAATGTAACAATGAATTACTTACCCAGGCCCAGGTATCTTTATGATCTACTCCAGAAGGTAGGAAAAAAAGAAACATCATAGGTCATTTTTTTGAAGTAATCATATCTTTGCTCATGAAACCAGACAAAAAGAAAAATCATTGGCACAAATTTCAGTAAATTCTCACCATGGAGTATTACTCAGCAGTAAAGAAAGAACAAACTACTTGTTCAATACCTTAGGTGAAGCTGAAGGGAATTGTGCTGAGTGCAAAAAAAAAAAAAATCCTAAACAGTCACATAGTGTGTGATTTCATTTATAGAATATTCTGGAAGTGAGAGAACCATTCAATATCTTGACTGTGGTGGTGGATACGTGAACCTACACAGGTGATAAAGTTTCATGAAACTAAACACACACACACATACATACAGATAAATGCAAGTTAAAGTAGAGAAATCTGATTAAAAAAAAAAAAAAAAGGAACTGGGACACCTGGGTGGCTCAGTGGTTGAGCCTCTGCCTTAGGCTCAGGTGGTGATCCCCAGGGTCCTGGGATCGAGCCCCACGTCGGGCTCCCTGCATGGAGCCTGCTTCTCCCTCTGCCTGTGTCTCTGCCTCTCTCTGTGTGTCTCTCATGAATAAATAAAACCTTAAGAAAACAGAATAAAAATATAAATAACTGTAGACAAAACTCACCTGACTTCCAAAAAGTTCATATTAAAAAGTAAAGTTGAGGGTTGTCTGGGTGGCTCAGTCAGTTAAGCCTCTGACTCTTGATTACGGTTTAGTTCATGATCTTAGGGTCATGAAATCAACTCTGGCATGTCCTCCAAGCTGGGTATGAAGCCTGCTTAAAAGTCTCTCTCTCTCTCCCTCTCCTTCTGCCCCTTCCATCCCTCCCCCTACTCATGCACACACCTCTCTCGAAAAAAAAAATAAAATAAAATGTGAAGTTTAATTAGACACTATATTAAAAAAAAATGATCCACCGCAATTAAATAGGTTTTCTCCCAAAGATGTGAGGCTCCTTCACTACTAGTAAATCTATCACCTGTAGTCTAGTAGCCAGTAATTTATAGGAGAAATTTTAGTTGAGCACTCTAAGAAATGTTCTAAAAATGCCATAAAAGTACATAATAAAAATAAAGTACACATTTATATTTTAAAAATAAAACATAGTTTTAGTAAACTAGGGATGTAAATATGTTTTCACGACATTATAAAGTCTCCTTTAACATAATGAATGAACCATATCCTCTTTTACAATGGAGCCCATTGAAATCAAGACAATTGCAGCTGCCATTTCTTCTTTACTATTGTTCTAGAAGTTCTCACCAATATTGCAAGAAAAGAAATATTTTTTAAAAAGGGCCTTTATAAAGGAGACAAAATTATCATTATTTGCAAATTAAAATCAAAGAAGATATTCCTAAAGGTGTCCTTTATTTGATAGAAGCACTTAATACTATGAGCAGACACTAACTGAATAAATATTGTAATTATGCCTTTCCTGGGTACTAGGGATGACGTGTTACAAACATTACAGGAAAAGCAGCACTCAGAATAGCAACAGACTCTACTAAATATCTACAGACTCCCTTAACCAAAAATATGTCTTTCAAAGACAACTACAAAATTTTACTGAGAAAAAAGGTCTTGCATAGACATTTTATGTTCAGAAATGGGAAAGGATACATTGATTATTATAAAGAATGAATTCTCTCCAAATCATCTGTAGTCTTAAGGTGACTATAAGCAAAATCCTAACAGAATTTTGGAACTTAATAAAATTTAGATCAGTTCATCTGGAAAAACAAGCAGGCATAGGTACTTTAAAAAAAATCTTGAAAAGATAAATAATGAGAGGAAACTTGTCCTACAGATATTAATAATTAGAACAGTGAAAATCCCACAGATCAATGGAACAAATAAAATAGTCCTGAAACAGTGGTATTCATAGGAATCTATATGTACTAAAATAACAGGGAATGGATGTTATAGAAAATTAGACTCTTGGAGAAAAATATCTAATTACAACTTCAAATTCATACCAAAATAAGTTTCAGAAAATATTCAACAAAAATACAGCTAGAAAAATATAATTAAGCATTGAACCCACTTCTAGATAGAAATGGAGAGATTTGAATACTGAAGAATATATATAATTCTGTGTAGTGAAACAAAAAATCAAAAGCAATTAGATGGCAGAGGAGTAACTAAACGCACGTATAAGTAATTAAGAAAACCTTAACATTCCAACAACAACAAAAAGGGAACAAAGTCAACAATAAGCCAATAAAGAAACTGACCAATAAACCTGTGAGAAAATGTTTGGCTTCCCCTGTAAGCGATAGTTCAGCAGCATTTACCACTCAACATTTTTAGATCTTTCAAATACTTAACATTTATAAAGTCCATGACAAGCATTCATGAACTTATGGAAAAAGGATAAATGCGTACATCACTCATGAAGGTAATTCCTTAATATGGATCAATAAAATTTTTCTAACTTTTAGCCTAGTGATTAACTCAACTTTCAGAAATTTATACTGAAGGATTGCCACATATGCACAAATGTAAGAGACTTATTTAACTTCAATTTATAAACTTGCAGGCATATAGCTGAATAATAAAAAGGTACCTTCAAATGTTGAATTTAGTGATACTTGTGTGTTTAAAAATCTCCTGTTATTGGGCAACCCTGTCAGAACCCCTCTCATGTCTGAGAGCTTTCTCTGTATCTTTACTTAATAAACTTCTATCCCTTTACTCACTAAATAAATAAATAAATAAATAAATAAATAAATAAATAAATAAGCAAATAAATAAAATAAGGTCTCATATTATATAAACATGTTGATAAATTTATAAACTTGTAGGCATATAGTTGAATAATAAGGATTCAAGGATTGAACCTCCTATGTCCTATGGGGCTATCTTTTGGTCTCCATAATGAAACCACTTCCTATATGGCTTTTTATGGACTTGTTAACAAGAATATCTAATACTTAAAATTATAAATTCATACCTCCCAAGGATAATTTTCAAGTCTGTATTTGACTTTGACTACTTCTGTCAGGTGGCATCTGAATGTGTCTAAAATGAGCATTGATTGAGGTCTTTAAGAGGAAGTCACCTTCAACACACATTACATTTTGTTCAAGACAGTATTTGAAAGATTGTTTAGTAATACAAAAGATTTATTTTTTTGAAAAGGTACTAATTTTCTTTTTTATGAGAAGTAATTTTAAAGAAAAACTTTTGTCATATATTGGAACATGTACAGTAATCAGACATGCTGCAAAGACTTATGAACAAGAATGTTAGTTGAAGGATTACTTTTTTTAAAGATTTTATTTACTTATTCATGAGAGGCAGAGACACAGGCAGAGGGAGAAGCAAGCTCCATGCAGGAAGCCCAAGGCGGGACTCGATCCCAGGACCCCGGGATCATGACCTGAGCCAAAGGCAGGCACTCAGCAACTGAACCTCCCAGGTGCTCTTGAAGCATTATTTTTAAAAGAGTAAAAAAATAAAATGTCCAACGATAGAGGGTAATGAAATTATTATGCATCCATGAGGCTGAATGCCATGTTATTCTGTGTTACAAGAATGTCTAATAACTTAGGGAAATGCTCAAAAAATAATAAGTGAAAAAAGTCTATCAAAATTATAGGTGCCAATGTGGGGGAAATATGTAGATATTTGTATATTTGCATAAGAAAAGAAAAAACTGGGGAGAAAAAGTCACCAAAATATTTGGGTGATTACTCTTAGATTGTGATATTTGGGATAATTTTGGTTTTCCTCTTAGGTTTTTATCCTTTTAATGTTTCTTTGCAGTGAGACTGTGCTAATTCTATAATCAAAATGAGAGTGCTTATTTTAAAAATAAAATGCTCTGCAAATTATTACTAGTGTTCTTTTAATATAGCAAAGGCTCTATTTCTCTGGTTTTCCATGGTAAATAAGAGCTTATGATCATGACTCTATAGCTCTACAGTGTGACGTGTTTATCAACGACTGATATTGTTTCATTCACCTACTGAGCAAACGGATGCACAGTGCCCCAGTCTTCCATCTAGTTTTGAGTAGATAAAAAGGAGGGGCGGGATAAACACGAAGACAGCCCTGTAGCGTTCCCTTTACATGACTGACCTCGTTCTGGATCATTCTCATGCAGTGTGCTTTTTAACTGGTCTGTCTACAGTCTTTTTTCGTGGACCACAACAGTCGAGCTACCACTTTCATTGACCCCCGAATCCCTCTTCAGAACGGTCGTCTTCCCAATCACCTGACTCACCGACAGCACCTCCAGAGGCTCCGGAGCTACAGCGCTGGAGAGGTAAGACCCTCCAGTCCCCCTGCCATGTTCACAGTCCCACAGTCCCCTCCTGTGGTGGAGCCAGAATTATTTTAGTGGCTGGGATCTAGAATTGCCTGCTTCTCCAAGGGCCCTGCCTTATCCACACTGCTCTTTAGAAGAAGGAGGACTCAGGGACACCCAGTGAACTCCCTAGGCCCATCTTCAAATTGCCTTGACCTTCCCTTTTGTCCCAACAATCACCACTACTAAAAATCTGTCTAGCTCAAAGGAGATTGAAATTGTGGTGTCAGGAGATCCGTACACTAGGGCTGGAGCTGGGCTTCCTTAGGCCTGCCAGTCATGTGTGAGTTCTTGAAAGATCATACAGGGTATGACTGACATCAAACTGGCTCTTCATGGATCCTAGAGGAGACATCAATACCATATACATGGACTAAAAACTGGGGGAAATCGCCTGGAGACATGAACACTTTCTTCCCATCCTACCACCTGCTCTTTCCTGGTTTATCTGTTTTCTCTGCCTGTGGTTTCCTTCTGCTGAATCATGAAAAGCTGCCATCCTTCTTAAACACCATGTGCATTGCCTTTCTGAACTACTATCTCTTTATCCTACACCCTTTTCTGGCCTCCTTTCTCAAACCCAAACTCAAAAGTAGCTCTTTTCCTCTTCTAGTTGGTTCCCAGCAATATTATGAGCAAATTCCTTTTTATGTCCTGACTGACATTTCCCAGGTTTTGGTACCATCCTAGAAACCATCAGGATCTCAGGAGATTGTGGCCACTGAGAACCATCTCTCCTAAAACAGCTTGTAGAGTTGGCTTTACAATGAGGTAGAAAATAAAAAAAGTATTATAGGAAAAAAAAAAGAAATATATATATGCATATGTGTGTGAGTGTGTGTGTGTGTGTGTGTGTGTGCATGTGCATACCTCGCCACCCCTCTAAAAGTTATTCCAGGAAGAACTAGGGTGAACCTCTCAGGAGAATTGGGGAGAATAACAATCCACCTGGAGCCTCCAGATAGCAAACATAAATCTCAAGGGAAGAGCCTGCTGCTGTTGTATTGGTACCAGTTTACTACTTTTTTAGGGGAATCACTCATATGCTCTAATAGGCATAACTGTTTCCAACCAACGGTGCTCATGGTTTAACGCCAATGTGGTAAAATGAATTTTTTCTTTCATGAGTCATCTTAAGTATTGTTTTAGGATACTGCTGAAAACATGATAATTATTTCTTTCTGCATATATGTAAAATGTGTGCATGACCATGCAGAGAAGAACATTATACATCCCTCAAGGGTTATTTGGGTGTCAGGACATGCAGAGAGTGGACACTCAGCAGCAGACACATTCACAGACTATAGAAAGCAATGCCCCAACTTCCCATCCCAACATGCATTGTATCCCTCTCTGGTGGCACTTTTACAACACTTCGGAAAGCACAAGATTTATGAAATAATAGTGGATAAATGAAAAATTCTGCATCAACTTGAAATACGCCACTTAGTTTATTTAAAATGACCAAGCTCTTTAATATTATTAAGGCAATTTCAGCATTAATATAGATTCTATAAAAGAAGCTGAGTACTGCAGTCAGATTCACTGTCAATAAAAGAAAAAGAAAAAGATAGATTACTCAATGTAAGATGAACCCCCTAAAGATAGAGGTCTCTTACATTTATAAGAAATTAACCTGAAAATACAAGTATTAAAACATTTCTGTTGAAACGGGATTAAGATCATGAGTACAACTTGCAGTACGTGTTCTGAAACATTTATTTAACATGATTGAGTAGCCCAAGAACAGTTACATTGAATATCAACATTGAGGGGCACCTGGGTGGCTCAGTGGTTGAGCATCTACCTTCGCCTCAGGTCATAATCCCAGAGTCCTGGGACCGAGTCCCGCATTGGGCTCCCCATGGGGAGCCTGCTTCTCCCTCTGCCTGTGTCTCTGCCTCTCTCCCTGTGTCTCTCATGAATGAATAAATAATTATTTTACAAAAAGAATATCAACATTGATGACAAAGTACCACCTGCATCAGCCAAGAAAGACTATAACACATAACAATGAAAGAGCATAAATGCGCATCAGCCACCTGTATTTTTCCTAATTCATCCACTCTCCAACTGACTCAGTTGATCAGCTTTTCAAACCCCTTCCAATCCTCTGTCTGCCAGTAGCTTTGCACTGACACAAGGAGAAACCAAGAAAAGCAAGAGAGAAGCTGAGACACAGAGGATATCTGATCCAGAGAGGGCATACCAGAGAAAACAAAGACCCAGCCTCTATGAAAATAAATATTTGGTTCCTCCTGCTGTGAGAGCCCATAGCCCAGGGGATGAGAAGACAGGAGGATCTTGGCATAAAAACAGAAGGAGGGGATGGTGGGAAATGTTAATTGTGTTTGCTGTGATGTGAATTTGCTCAACAAACATTGATTACGTGCATGGCCTGCTATGAGCACTGTGGAATGCAAAGAAGTATGAGATATGATCCTTGCCCAGGAGAATTTTATATTCTATGATTGAAGCCAGGCCAAAAAACACAAAGTAACGAGAACAATTAGAATATGACTGAGTACCAAGAGAGATGTTAGGACAAGTGCCACAGAAGTTCAAAAGAGGCCAAGGAAAGACACCTTTAAAATAAGGTACCTGACCTAACCCTAGAAAATCGGTAGAATTTAACCAAGTACCAAGGAAGAGGAAGGGCAACCCCACAGAGAGCACTGTGGAAGCAGAGGTGCAGCAGTAGGATTGAGAAAGGTCAGTAGAGAGACAATGGATAGTTCAGCGTGACCAAACTACTGTTTCCACTTGGGTTTTGTCTTGGTTTTTGTAAAGCTTTGAATGTCACATGGTTGGCACTTTCTCATGAGCCCACGGAATGAATTTGAGAGAAATAACATGATGATTTTTTTGTAAAATACGGGCTTTAGAGGAGAAGATTATTGGCATTTTGAGGACACTCCTGTAATATGTAGAATTGTCCTGGGTCATTGCAGGACCTTTTTTTCCTGCTCACGTCCATTAAATGTCAGGAGTGCCCTCACCTAACCAGTCGCTATGACAACCAAAACAGAAAACCAAACAAAATACCTCTAAGCATTTCCAAATACCCCCATGTGGTAAAATACCACTTCAGTTAAGAATTGTATTTTATTAGTCAAGCAAACTTAAATATCAAAAATCAGGTCACAAGCAAACTTAAATATCAAGACTGCAGCTCAGATCTAACTCGCAGTCCAGTGTAAACTAGTATTTTAAGAAGGAGACCATGACGGCCAAGAAGAGGAAGGCAAAGAGTGATCTCCAAGAGAAAGGCCCATTCAGGGCCACTGAAGGTTGGCAAAGAGACACAAGACAAAGAACATCTTGTAGGAAGAAGCCTGAGGAGGAACGGGCAGTCGGTTAGCAGATGGTTCCAGCTCCAGCTTCTCCACAGCAGAGCTATGTGTGTGCCATTACCCCTTCCTTTCCTCTCTTGGGCCTCAGTTCCCTCATCTGAAAGTGGAGACAAGGCAACTAGGTGGTTGGCTCTGGGATTCTCAGTCTGTGATGCTTGAGGCACTAGGAAGATGAACAGGAAAACCAGTTGGGAAAGATGGCAGGTTTGCCATTAGATAGGTTAGTAATGAGTATGAACACAGTAGGATATCCCATTTGAAATGACAGTTAAGCAGATGGAAATATGAGACTCAAGAATAATCAGTGAATTCTTTCCATACTCCATGGTTTTCCTGTATCACATATCAGAGCGACTGGAGGATTTGCAAGAGATGTTTCTTACGCTGCAACCTTAGGAATCAGTATTTTCTGTTCACCTTCATGAGCCATTCTCTTGAGAGCTGCTCAGCAGCGAATATTTTTATCAACTGCATTTAAAGACAGAATTAAAATCAGGAAATCAGTCTATATTCAGGCTCTTAAGTGGTAAGAATTTCCCTCAAAACCCCTGTGATAGATTATTAACAAAGACACTGTCAAACGTCTTTTAGATTGGCCTTTACATCAAGTGAAAATTTTTCAGGTGGTTTGCTGAAAGCAGTTATCAGGGATATATATATATATATATATAGTACTTTCTACATAAAAAGATCATTATTTGATACTTTAGACTTCATTTGAGTACAGTGTCACATCTGACTGCAATATACAGAAAAAGCATCCACAGAATAGGCCTATCTCGTCCCATAACATCCAAATGGAAATGGACACAGACAAATGGAACGAGCATATAGGGCTATAAATATCAGATCCATCTCTCTATCAGTAGGGAAATCATTGAAGATCGCATTTGTCTTGTTTATACTGCAATTAGCAATATAAATTAACATTAATAAAGAAGGATAATAGAGCACATTATTTTTATTTCTTTTACCACCTTATCTTGGTCAGGTTAGAAAATCATTAATCATAGAACAGTTCTGGAAGGGACACACAAAAAAGCATAATAGTAGTTGCCTAAGAAAAGGACAGGAATCTGGCAGAAAGTGACTTTTCACTTTAAAAGCAGAAGTCACTCTTGATCATTCTTTATAGTGAGCTTTTTTGATGACAAAAGTTATTTCAGGGCAGCCCAGGTAGCTCAGTGGTTTAGCGCCACCCTCAGCCCAGGGCATGATCCTGGAGACCCGGGATGGAGTCCCCCATTGAGCTCCCTGCATGGAGCCTGCTTCTCCCTCTGCCTGTGTCTCTGCCTCTGTGTGTGTGTGTCTCTCATGAATAAATAAATAAAATCTTTAAAAAAAAAAAGTTATTTCATCGGCTCTGATGACACAGAGAAGTCATCATCCAGGGAGCTTGTGCTTAGAGAAGGTAACTTCTGCACCGCTTCTAAAAATTGAAATTTTCCTCTTGATTCCACATAACCTATACTTGACCTACAGGTTTGGTTGGAAGATTATAAAATTCCGACCCCTATGAAAATAAACTTTTGAATTATCAACAGTAAGTTAGGAGTGTAGAAAACACAGACACGGATGGGAAAGAAGTGAAAAGGCGGGTATAATTCCCCATCTAGGGACACTCCATGGCCTACATAGAAATAAAAGAATTAGATCCTATTGTCTATGGTTCTGTATCCTATTTTACCAGGCTAGTACCTTGTAGGCTGTTCCTATGCCATTACAATTCTTCTATATTTTATCATACAGGTCTACCATAATTTAACTCAAGCCTTTCTTTGTACATTATGTTTATTATTCACTTTTCACTATTATAAATATTTTGAACTCAAGCATAGATCTCTCTTTTGTTTCATGAGATAATTCTGAAAACGTTCTTAATGATCTATTTTTAGAATGCAAAACAAATCTAGAGACAAATGCAAATTCATCACTTAGGCCTTTCCTCTGAACTCACTATTTTTTTTTATCATCAGGCCTCCAGTGAGCATTAGCTGATTACTAATCCAAATTCAGCCAATAACCTGCAATTTTCAATCATGGCTAAAAAAAAAAAAAAAAAAAAAAAAAAAAACAAAAAAAACACCAGTTTGCATTTCTAAATTGCAACACAAAAGAGAAGCTTGTTTACCAGTCACTATTTTCTGAGCATATCTACTTTTTTTTTTTTTACTAGAGAGCTAAATGTTTGAAGTTTCACATTTGCAATTATGATTAAAGCTATCTCAACATCAAAAGGGAAAGAAATCTTAAAAGTAGTCCCTATTGCAAACTAGGTTTTAGCCAGTCATAGAATAGTCATAGCATGTCTGGGGAGAGGCAGGCCATGTCTGGGAGAGGGAAGTCCCCTCTTTTTCTCTCCGTCTCACACACACACCCAGGAGAAACTCAGTAACACAAAAAGTGTCAAATGCCAGGGAATTCAGCGAGTCATATAATTTTGGTTTTAAATGGAAAATCTATTTTAAGTCGTTCTCAGGTTAGGGAAGCAAATGTTAGCATCATGTTTACACTGAGATCAGAATCAGTGACTTAGCTGTTATCAAACATTCCTCAGGATGGATCATTTAATACTACTTTAGGGGTACAAGGATCCTAGCACATAGTAAACTCTAACCCAACCTCAGAATCTTTTCCAGCCCTGGTTGAAATTGTCTCCATCCCTGTAAATTCTTGGCTCCTAGTTGGATGAGGGTGTGTTCTATTTAACCCTCCCATCCATCCGCATCTGTAGGTTCTCCACTACCTCCTTTACCCTTGGCAGGTGTCTCTATGGTTCAGGTACCCCACATGCCCCACCTTCCCCCCTGTGTTGTCTTCTCCATCTCATTCATACTTGGCCTGAAGCACATTCATCAGTGAGTAGTCTGCCTTCAGGGTAGCTGGCCTTCATCTGGTTTCAGAGGTTTTACAATCTGGCTTAGTTTTGCCAGTGAGCAGATGACCTCAGAAGTAGGCACCATTTTTCCCTAAAACATATCTGTAACACATGAATTCCCTGTGGCAGCCCGGAATAGAAGTGAGCCTCTTCCTGTTTCAGAGTGCTATTTATTTCAAGGCAACCCACGAGCAATTAGACACTTTAGCTCAGGGTGTGACAGCAGGCATCACCTGAGTTTGGTACACAGCCATGCCTTCCTGAGGTCTGTTATCAGATCGGTTTCCTCAGTTTCTCTCTGTAATACATCATTTAGATAATCTTCAGCTGAGTGGTCCTTCAGATTCCTGTATTCACAGCATCAAAAATAATTCACACACACTTTATTTTTTTTTCACACACACTTTAAAGCAGACTGACATAATTCCTTCCAAGGAAAAGTGACCTATCATTTCAGTCCCAGATAGCCTTTACATATTAATTCAAGGAAAAAGAAATGTAGAGACTCAGTGCTGCCTATTTTAATAATTAGCATGGCTTTCTTTCATCACTTTGCTTTGCAACCATGTAATTGGGACTGGAAAGTGCTGTTGCAGAAGTACCAGCTTCTAAATCTTGGTGGCTGGCTATCCTAGCAGGACAGAGCTGAGGGCTAATGACATCAAATGAGAAGCTTACTACAGTAGCACAGAATCTAGTTCCTTGTCCCTCCAGTAGGCAGCAGGCAAGGAGAAGGACCAGGAGAGAAAGGATGGATCTGCATCTCTACTACTTCCAGAAGAGCAATTCAAAGACTGCCGTACACAGACAGTGAACTGATAGCACATCTCTGCCAAGAAAGGATGTTATCCCTGTCTGTGTGGAGTGTGGAAGTAGGACCCAAAGGAAAACCAGCAATTACCATGTCTTTAATTAGTAAGCCCTTAGTAATCTGTCCTATTTGTCATCTGCAATGTGACACATGGCCTAGTCTTAAATGGCCCCTTTGAGATTGACCTGACGTTTCTGGACTTTGTACCATAAGATCTCACTACCTCTCCTAAATTCTGTGGGAGCAAATTGTATACCGATTTCAGAGGAAGAATCTTCTTTCCTTATTTGTCTAGATGTTTGAGCTTCTTATGAGTATATTACAAAATAATCTTTAATATAATTCTTAAATTTTTTAAAGCCTATTTTGGCATATTTTACCAAATATCATAGAATGAATCATACTCTACAGCAAACCCCATGTATTTGATGAGTGGATCCCAATGTGGAAAATTTATAGAGCCTCTGTTTAAGTAGCTTACCCTGCAAGGGCCCTTTAAGGAACAAATGTACAGAGAATCATGGTAGAAAGTTCATTGTCATGCTCTAGAACTTGGAGGGTCTGTTAAAACTTAAAACTGATCTAAATTTATCATCATAAATATCAGTTTTAAGCTAAGTAAGTTCTGCATTTCATGTAGTTTTGTCAAAATGCCCATCAAAAGCCAGGGTATCGGTTGCAGGCTAATAGCAGAAAAGGAGTCAACAAATGCTTTGCAGTCAAGCATGAGTTGGTATCCTAGTTCTGTCTCTTCGAGTTAAAAATTTTGCAAATAATTTATCTGATCCTCAGATTCCCTGTTTGTAGTCTGGGCTTAATAATGCTTTTCTTTCAGAATTTTGAGAGAATAAGAAGATACTATGTGAAGAGTAGCCAGTACAGTGAATGAAATAATAGGCACTAAGCAAAGAATGGCCATGTGAGGGTGATACGTGCTGTTAAAAAGAGCAAGTCCATTCCACATTCAGTTCTGAAGTTGAGTGCCAACCTTTCGAAATGAAAGCCATAAACTTATCTTTACTGATAATGTTCGTGTAGAATTTATGTCTCTTGAATGTATTTATGAACAGAAATGTTTTTAGTGTATTCAGTATATTAATTTGGTTAACATTTATGACATCTAACACAATCACTTTCTTAAAAACCATCAACCACCCTACTTAGTCTTTCTTTCTTTTTTTTTTTTTAACTTGCTTATTTCCACTCACTTTGAGCATTGTAACTTCATTGCTTTTTTAACTTAGGTGATATCATGATCTTTACCCCTCATCTTGAAAAATTAGCATTAAAAGTCCATCTGAATTTGATAAGATTTCCAATGCTAACAATTTTATTTTGAAATTAGGCTTCAGAAGTCTCTAGAAACAGAGGAGCCTCTTTACTGGCCAGGCCAGGACACAGCCTTGTAGCTGCTATTCGGAGCCAGCATCAACATGAGTCATTGCCACTAGGTATGTATCAAGCTTTGGGGACCCTGGATACCCAATACATAGGCTATCTTCTTCTTGCCATGAATCTTCTAATATTCAGAATTCTGTGTTTTCTTTTTCCTCCCCTGTAATCTACTCCCACCCTTTGCTTCCATCCCCCTTCTGACCCAAATGCCTTTCCCTTCATTCCTTAATTTGTCCTTCCATCTTTCCTGTCTCTGCTCTCTTCCAGGCCTTCACCCTCTTCTTCTTTATTGTATTCAGTGATTCGTTAGCCAAGTCCAGGAGAGCATAGTTTAAATGAGGTGATGGATCTTGTTGCTATTAGATACAGTTTTTAATTTAGACCTCTCTCCCCAGGTGTGTGTGGGGATAAGTCAGCATAGTCTTCATTCCTAACCTCAGTTACCTCCTGAGGTAGATGCCACTTGTATCAAGGGAAATGAGGTGAGAAAGCCCAAATGGATTTGGTTATTTCCATTATTATTCCTGGGAAATCCACCTTCACCACAGGTTATAAGGGTCAAGTGCTCAGAAAGGGATTTCTTTGAACTCATAAAGAATCTTTTGCTGTAATAACTATTGAAAATGGCCAAGAGAAGTCAGAAGGAAGAGAATAGAACTCCTCTCATGGAAGAGCAATTTTATTCTCCTTCACCTCTTCACACAGGGATGAGTTAAGTTCCTGGAATATTAAGGATAATTAACTTAGATCTGGTTTACTTTTGGTTTGATCTTTTAAAAATGATAATGCTATTATGTCACAGAAAAAAGCCCTCAAGAGCTTACATTTTTTTGATGAGTGTGCTATCTGCCCTTCAAAGTCCTTTGCTAACCCTGGTATCAAGCAGCCATTTTCCAACCATTAGAGAAATTATCTCTGGGCTGAAGACTCAACCACAACGTGCACTTTTGTCTGTTTCAGCATATAATGACAAGATTGTGGCATTTCTTCGCCAGCCAAACATTTTTGAAATGCTGCAAGAGCGTCAGCCAAGCCTGGCGAGAAACCACGCACTCAGGTAGGGACTTGTCGCTCACCCTCTAGCTCTGGGTCTCTCCAGCCCGTCTCCCCAGGGGGACAACACCTCTGTGGAGGGAGAGTAGAAGCTTATGATTCGTTTTGTTCTCTTGAATACTCAGAAGGAAGGATCCAGGGGATTCTAATGTTCTCTGAAGAGCCACTAACAGAGATAGCCATATTGCCAGGTTACATATTAACCATACAATGCTAAAATGATTTCCACTGATTCAGAAAGAAACCCAGAAAAAGTAAAATATCTTTCATCAAAAAATTACTTATGGGGATCCCTGGGTGGCGCAGTGGTTTGGCGCCTGCCTTTGGCCCAGGGCGCGATCCTGGAGACCCGGGATCGAATCCCACGTCGGGCTCCCGGTGCATAGAGCCTGCTTCTCCCTCTGCCTATGTCTCTGCCTTGTCTCTGCCTCTCTCTCTCTGTGTGTGACTATCATAAATAAATAATTTAAAAAAAATTACTTATGTAAAGCATCATATAATTTTTTATTCAAGTATAATTAACATATTAATTAATGTTATATTAGTTTCAGTTAGACAATATGGTGATTCAACAATTCTAGACATTACTTAGTGCTCATTATGATCAGTGTACTCTTAATCCCCTTCACCTTTTTCACCCATTCCATCACCTACCTCCTCTCTTGTAACCATCAATTTATTCTCTGTAGTTGAGCCTGGTTTTTTGTTTGTCTCTTTTTTCCTTGCTTGTCTCTTTTTTCCTTGCTTGTTTCCTTTCCTTGCTTGTTTTGTTTCTTAAATCTACATATGAGTGAGATCATATGGTATTTGCTATTCTCTGACTGACCTATTTATTTAGCATCATGTCCTAAAGGATCCATCCATGTTGTTGCAAATGGCAAGATTTCATTCTTTTTTTTAGTTCAGTAATATTCCATTGCGTATATATACCACATATTCTTCATTCATTGATGGGTTAATACTTGTATTGCTTCCATATCTTGCCTGTTGTGTACATGTGACAATAAACATAGGGCGCATATATTTTTTGAATCAGTGTTTTCATTTTCTTTGGGTGAATACCCATAGTGGAATTATCAGATCATGTAGTGATTCTATTTTTAATTTTTGAGGAAACTCCATACTGGTTTTTCCAGAGTAGCTCCACAGGCGTGCATTCCCATCAGCACTGCATGTGAGTTCCTTTTTCTCCACATCCTCACCAACATTTGATTCTTGCGTTTTTGATTTTAGCCGTTTTGACAGGTGTGAAGTGATACCTCATTGTAGTTTTGATTTGCATTTCGCTGATGATGAGTGATGTTGAGCATCTTTTCATGTGTCTGTTGGCCATCTGTATCTCTTCTCTGGAAAAAATATCTATTCATGTCCACTGCCCATTTTTAATTGGATTATTTAGGGGGCTTTGGTGTTGAGTTGTGTAAGTTCTTTATATATTTTGGATATTAGCCCCTTATTGGATATATCATTTGCATATATCTTCTCCCATTCATTAGGTTATTTTTTGTTTTATTGATGGTTTCCTTCACTGTGCAAAAGCTTTTTATTTTGGTGTAGTCTCAGTAATTTATTTTTCCTTTTGTTTCCCTTGCCTATGGAGACATATCTAGAAAGATATTTCTACAGCTACTGTCAAACCAATTACGGCCTATGTTCTCATTTAGGAATTTTATGGTGTTAGGTCTCACATTTAGTTCTTTAATCCATCTTAACTATTTTTATTTTTAAAATATCACTTAGTGGTAAACCAATTATTAGATGAACATATTAAAAAACAAACCAACCAGCAAACCAAAAGTATTAAAAGTACCATGTGTTCTAACTACTTAAATCTTACTATCCATTAGTGTCATTGTTGCATGAGTGTCCTTGAAAATGAATCACTTCATTTGGAAAGGACAGCCACCCAAAGTGATAACAAGAGAACATCTCTTAAATCTCACTTTCCAAGATATTCAGGTATCTCTCTGCTTCAGTTAACTGCACAGTGTTTTGGAATCTGGCCATACATGATGGTTAGATGTGTCCCGTTGGAGTTTGAATTATTGATCAAGCTCTTCGAGACCATTATTCAGAGCATGTTATTCAGTCCAAAACTACCCTTAATCTCCTCAGATACAGATTACCATGTGGGCACTGTGTAGATGCTTTTATGGGTATGTGTATAAAGGATCAGGAAAGGTCTGGGAATGCAGTCACTGACTGCCTTGGACTCCTCACCTCCTATTTGGTGGTCTTTTGAATCTAGCTGGCAACTGTAATACTCTGCTTTGACTTCTCAGTGAATCACCAACACCTGAAAATAGCCTCTTTGCAATTCAATTTCATATTACTCCTCCCAGAGTGGATTATTCACTGATCTCACACACACACACACACACACACACACACACACACACACACAGCTTCACTGACACCTCTTTTCACTGCTTTTTACTCTGTGTGAATTAGAACCACCCGTCCTCCCCACTGCCAGGTCTCCATTCCTCCTTCTTTCTCTATCTCCACACCAAAACATACGCCTCCTCACTTTCTATCTTCCAGCCTTTCTTTTTCCTGCCCTGTCATGGCCTGCATTTGGGTGCTCATCATTTCTCTCCTGGATTTTGTAGGGGTCTCCTGGAACATGTCCCCTTGATCTATCACTGTAACAGATATCACCTACCTGTTATAGCCAGAATTACCTTCTTATAGCACAGATTAAATCATGTCACTTCTGGCCTTCAAAAAAAGCTTTCCATTGTATGTGAAATAAAGTCAGGATTTCTCAACACATTTTCCATGGCCCTAACCTAACTCTATCTCAAGCTAGTTTTCCCTTCTAGTGTCTTCCACTTCCACCAAGCAGGCTGTGTCCTCTCCTACTTCTGCCCTCTTGGGAATGGCTCTTCTCTTAAGGACCGCTCAACTCATTTTAAAGGCTCAAACCAAATACAAAGATTCACCAACCTCGGCAAACTTTAATATTTCTTTTGCCTTGTTTTGATAGCATTCTTCTCATATATTTTTCCATTATCTCTTGAATGCTGTCTGTACTAGTGTAAACTCCTTAGTGCGGGATCTTCCAGTCTTTGCCTTTGTATCACTCTTCCCCTCAGAACCTACTCCTCTACTTTGAAAATAAGCAACACTAATTATGTTTAGAGTGTTTGGAAGATCTTTAGATGAACAGATGAGCTTTAGCATAAGTGATCAGCCCTTCCACTTACGCTCATCTCTGCCCATTTTATTACTGTGCCACAGAAGGCAATGCCATACTCAAGTCATGTGGCTCATTTATTTGTGGGCTACTCCCTGACTCACAGAAAAGCATAATTTAAGGGAATTTCCAAGGGATTTTCAGAGAAGTTGTATGATATGAAAAGTTTCTGAGAGATTGCTACTCTTGAACTTTTTTTCTGTTACTGATTCTACCAATAACTAATGAGTTCAGGACTATTTTTTTTGAGGAATTTGAATTCACCAAGGGCACTGGAGTCTCATTTAAGTCATTTTAAAAGTGAAAATGTAATCATCCCCTGGGTAAAAGAGTGAAAGTAAACTATTTTCAGTGCTATTACATAGTATCACATTATAACAAAATCCAAGAAGCCTTAAAAGCTTTGTTGCAGTGCAGAATTGTACAATTATGATTTTTCCAGACATGGGGAATTTGGAATTAAGACAACTTGGAATTAGAAAAATCTCAGCAATTATTTAGTATATAAACTAATAACTTCTTTAAGATTAGGGACTCCTTGAAGGACTTGTAGACCCTGAATGAGAACCCAAATATCTCACCAAAAACAGAAGGCCCAAAGTGGCTAAAAAACATGGAATTAAAAAGAGAGAACAAGAGGAAAAATTTGCTTACAGGCAATACAAGAGTCAGGCTTCCAGGAACCAGGAAGCCAGGAACTACTCACTGTGACTAGTTGCCCCTGGATCTGATGTGGGGGTGAGTCAGTTCCATTTTAAAGGTCCAAAGATTGAATAGAAAACCTCCTTTCCCCCATAACACTGCCCAGAGGATAAACTTACTGCTTCCTCTGTGGTCTTCAAGCGGGGACTGAGACCCTTGTTCAGCCATTGCTTTTCTCGGGGAGTCATGGATACATGTCTTAAGTCCACAAAGCCAGTGTGAAGGGTGAGTCCTCAGAAAACTGTGTTCAGCAGATAACACAGTGAATCAGAAGGAAGCCACCTAAGGAGAGGGAAGATGGAGCCAGAAAACCTAGAGTTAATGACATCTGTTTACTTTAAGGGTTATGGTAGCAGTGGTCATTCATTCATTCTTCCTCTAAGCTTTTATTGTGCCAGTATTCTGAATCAAGAAGGGCTGTATATGCAGTAGCAAAGCAAACAGACACTGGTCCCACTTTGTATCGTATTTGCTATCTATTGAGGAAGGCAGATGGTAGACAAGTTTGACTTTGATTTTTCTCAAGCCAAATATATAACTATAGAATGTGTTAGAGGCCAAAAGAACAGGATCAGAATTTAGTAATAAAAGATAGTGACAAAAGAATTTCAAGGATTTCATGTGGATATTAAGTTTTGAGGCCTTTGAGGCCACAAAGAGAGATGTCCAGATGTCAAGGAGGCAGGTAGCTCCACTGAACTGAGCCCTAAGGAGAGTTTTGCAGTGGAGTTTTGCTGATGGACAAAGGATATATGTAGGAGAGGCAGATGGCATTCTCACAGTCAGAGATCTTTCCCGGTTCCAGTGCGTTTGGAATGGGTCCCAGGGCCTTTGGAGGCCCCCAGACCACTGGGTCTACATAAGAGTTTTGTATACATGAAAGAGAGTGCAATGTCCTGTGGAAAGCCACTGAAAGTCTCAGAAAAGTGGGCTTGGCTTTCTGATACAGGGATATGGTTAATGTGGGGTGGTGGGATAACAGAACCACTGCAGTGTGGTGCCACTTTGGGCACTGTGCTGCCCTAGTATAGTTGGCCCCCTTTGGCCTTCATTTCCTCAGGGATGCTTGGAACAAAGGGAAACTCCTAGAAAGTTCTCTCCATTTTTCCTCCAGCCAAGGAGACCAGGAGCTTACCCATGTATAGGTCCCTTGGGGCCACAAGATGATCTGCCCCAGGGGCATTGTCATTGGGAAGACATATAAATTTGAGAGTCCTTTGTGGGGCTGAAGTCAGTAAACCAGGGGAGCAGATCCACAGAAGCTTCCAAACAAGAGGCCTGGAGGTGGTATCAGGATTTAGAGGCCAAAGCTCAGAAACATGGGATTGAAAACATAGAGACACACAGAGGGAGACAGGTGATGGAGGAGGCATTGTGCTTTCACTCTTGGCTGGGCTTCCACATCCTTCCTGCAAAATGATGTGTGGACAGGTCTGTTCCATTTTTCAGAACCTCCAGTCAGAGAAGCCACAATGAACACCTCCCCGCCGCCCCAAGGTTTGGGCAATAGCCTTTATTGCAGTGATACGCTACCTATACTGAGAAGTTGGATTACAACACATTTCTCTGTTTAATCTTATTTTGTAGAGGCCAAAAAGTTTTCCTTTTAAAAAACACACACACCAAAAGGTCAAGCTTATTATATTGTTGCCTGAAAATATGCAAGTAATGATGAAGATTTGGGCTCATCTTATTATAATCAGAGACAGGAAAAATTTGTATCTGCAGTATTTTTATAAATAGATTTTTAAGAAGTCATACATTGGAGGAAACTGAGTATACGGTATACTGGATGGCTCTGTATTAATTTCTTACAACTATATATGATTCTAAAATTATCTCAAAATTAAAATGCTAACAAAAAATAAAGTTAAAAAAAACACCACACTTTAAAAAGTTAAAAAAAAATAAAGTTAAATATAAAAAAAAGCAAATCCTTAAATCTTCTCAGATTTCTGTGGCATCTCTTCAAGAAAGGGAAGAAAACTTCTTTGAAGCATGCACACAATGGAATGATTCTTGGTTGTGGCATTTATAATATTTGAATGCCAGAGAAGCAAAGTACCAAGTTCATCTGATCAAAATAATATTATTTATCTCTAAATTCATCGGAATAACTTGTCAGGTTGGAGTTGGAGGTCATGAAGAGAGTCAGAATGCAAATTATAATTAAACTGAGAAATTGAGACCTGTGCTCAAACTGACCTGGAAGACTCGGGTATTCTGGATGCCAGCCCCTCTTCCCTGGTGTCGCATTATACATTTTCCATCAGGTGGAAGATTTCTTGAGATGCCTGCCCTCTTTCTCTTTCCTCCCATGGCTCCCAAGATGCCGAGAGCCCACAGCAGTCCTCCGGCAGCTCTCCTTACCCACCTCCCTGCCAACTGTCATAGCTGTCTGAGGTACTACGTTTGTTGTCTTCCTCAGCTTCCATCCCTGTAGTCTGAGGAAGGGTGATCCCTTGTAGAGCATCATGGGAACCTGCTACAGGAGCTCAAAATACCACAAAATTCACTGGACATTAGAATATCGCTAGTCAGCCATGTTGGCAGGGAAACGAGTCAGAAAGGGATGTGTGCCCTCGTTTATGTGTTGGTGTGTAATTCTTATTTTCTTTCCTACATTATTCTAGGGAGAAAATCCATTACATTCGGACTGAGGGTAATCATGGGCTTGAAAAGTTGTCCTGTGATGCAGATCTAGTAATTTTGCTGAGGTAAGGGGCTAAGCCTGAAACACTTCTGGAAAGGCTGCTCTGGGCAGTTTTTCTCCACTACTGCTATAGCTGAAACACCCTGCATTTGTTCTAGAGGATTCTAGTAGCTGCAGAGTAGGACCCCCCCACCCTTGTACCTGCTGCCCATTGCCTTCTTTACATTCACAACTGAGGTATCAAGAACTGTGCATAGTACTTAATGGAGACTTTATTATTGCAGGATTAATTAGGATTTAAAATAACACTGAGAATTTGCACGCTGGCATGTGCCTGTCTAAGTGAACCTAAGTGCTTTTGTTGCCTTGTGAGACCTGTAACCACTATATAGTAATTCATGAACACTCTCTCGTGAACAGAAAATTAACTTTTTTCTTTCATTCTTTCTTTCTTTCTTTCTTTCTTTCTTTCTTTCTCTTTCTTTCTTTTTTCTCTTTTCTTTTCTTTTCTTGTCTTTTCTTTTCTTTTCTTTCTCTTCCTCCTCCCCTTCCTCTTTCTTCTCCTCCCCCCCTCCTCTCCTCCTCCTCTCCTCCTCCTCACTCTCCTCCTCCTCCTCCTTCTTCTTCTTCTTCTTCTTCTTCTTCTTCTTCTTCTTCTTCTTCTTCTCTTCTTCTTCTTCTTCTTCTTCTTCTTCTTCTTCTTCTTTCTTCTTCTTCTTCTTCTTTTCTTACTTTACAGTCTCTTTGAAGAAGAGATTATGTCCTATGTCCCACTGCAGGCTGCCTTCCACCCTGGGTACAGCTTCTCTCCCCGCTGTTCACCCTGTTCCTCACCTCAGAACTCCCCAGGTAACTTGAGTATCTGACATTCTATCTCCTGTAAGTGTCCGTCTGGGTTTCCACCAGATGAAGGTAGAAGAAGAGCAGTAGTATATGTATGTGTGTGTGTATATGTGTGTGTATATATGTGTATATATATATATATATATATATATATATATATATACACTCTCTTCTCCTCTCTCTCAATTTTCTAGTTGAAACCACACTGTTGAAATTGGGTGTTGACAAATTGCCTGTTTTTGTAATGCCCCCACACTAAAACGCATTCTACATTCTTAAATAATTTGAAATTTTTAATAAAAATAATATTTCATGACATGAAAATTATATGAATTGCAAACTTCAGTGTCTATAAATAGAATTTTATTGAACCCCAGTCACACCTGTTTATTTATGTATTTTCTATAGCAACTTTCACACTACAACAGCAGAGCTGAGTAGTAGCGATGAGACCAGAGGGCCACAAAAGCCTAAAATATTTACTACCTGGCCCATCACAGGAAAAGTCTACTGACCCCAGCTCTAAATTACTTTTGTATTCCAAAGGTACTCTGCAGGCATTTAGAGGGGAAGAGCCCTTTCTAAAACATTTTGCCTTATGACTCAGAATATTATTACATATTAATTTTAGTAACTTTCTGTTTAGGTGTAAAGGAATTGCTCAGTGATGTGGTGACTAGGGACCACCATTCTGTCCCCACAAAGATGTTGCAGAGTTTTCTTACATGCACAATTGTTCCCCTACAGTTTCCTTTATGTATTAGGATTAATATACTTATGATACAGAAATTCTTTATAGGTATTTTCCATTCCAAATAAGGAAATATATACTGAACTGTTTAGTGGAAAAAAAGAAGATGTTGCTCTTGGGTTCATCAAAATAATTAGTTTAAGTCAAATCCATATTCCCAAATGAGATCCAGATATTGGAGAGTTTTCCTCAGTTGCTTAGTTTTCAACACCACCTTGTTCAAAGTCTTGGTGGTAAACCCAAATTTCTTTTTATGACTTTAGAAGTAAAGGAACTTAGTTTTAAAAATCTAGTAGGTTCTTTTATCACAACTTCTAGAGTCAGTGTCTAAGCTTGGATTTTGAAGCCACTCGAGAAATTCACAAGAGATACAGAATTTAGCAGTGTCCTCAGTCCCCAGAAGGGAAGTCTCACTCAGCATCGTGTGGTACTGCCACATGTCTCTAAAACTAGAATATCTTAGTTTGGCTCCTCCAAGTTACATCACTCAGAACTATCTTTTAGGGATAGTTTTGTTAATTGCTAAAATCTGTTTCTAAGTCAGTATCTCTTCATCATCACTTCCTCCAAACCAGTGCACCAAAGGCATATTATTAAGGAAATGCCCAATGCGTGCTGCTTCTGACATATAATTGAGATGCCATTGCCTGGGAAAAGGAAGATGAGGACCTTTGCCAGAGCCAACATGAAGACAGTCAAATATTTCCAGTGCACACAGGATGACTTACTTTTGGGAAGTAAAGCCTTCCATTCACATAGGATGACTTACTTTTGAGGAGTAAAGCCTTCCATTTGGGGGCATCTATTGGTCTACATGATGATCTGCCATTTTGTTGTAGATAGTGTACCAACCTGATAAAGTATCTGCACTTTGGTCCAAACATTCAACAGTAGAGTATGATTTTAACATTATAATATGGAGGAGGCAATCATATTACAAATAGAAAAATAAGAAATACTAATTTCCTAAATGAGAATTACTTGCATAATTTTTATAAAAGGAATCAACTTTCCTAATAAGCCATTACTAATACCATGAACCTAAACGATCATCCAATTAATTTTAATTCTTTTTTAAATTTTTTTAAATTTTTATTTTTTAGATTTACTTATTTGAGAGAGAGAGTGAGAGCGCATCAGCAGGAGAAAGGCAGAAGGTGAAACAGGCTCCCCACTGACCAGGGATCCCAATGAGGGGCTTGATCCCAGGACTCTGGGATCACAACCTGAGCTAAAGGCCATTAGCCAACTGACATTTAGCCAACTGAGCCAGGCACCACAATTCATTTTAATTCTTAATTGCCCTAGCTCTGACCATGGGGGTCCTAGATTATATAATCCAAATATTTTGATGTTGAATTTTATAATTCCCATTTTCTAGACCTTCCTGAAACTTATCTGAGTGCCACAGAGATAGCAAATCATAGATATTTATGCCAAAGTACTTTGTAAAGCTTAAGGTACTAGAAAAATACATAGAATTGGTCATGGGCATAGTGGTAGTACCAGCAGTAGTAAAAGTCATATTATAAAATACACTGCATTGTACTGGACAGAAAATGCTACTTGCACCTACAGACTTGTATTCTCATTCTACATATAGTCTGAAACCTGGCATTTCACTGAGGACAGTTCTTTTCAAGTGGTGGCTATGGGTTCCCTTACACCTCAGGTGCTGGGGGCTCCAAGGGTAAGGCTGATGCGCTTCACGCTTCCTTGCTTATACCATTCAGCTGCCTCCCCACCACCCCCAGTTGCTCTCATCAACCAGCCTTTCTGTCATTCTCAGACTCTGGTATCTGTCTCATAGTTTCCTCTCCTTCTCAAGTCTTTCCATCATCCTGAATGACTTCAACATCCACAAGGACACCCATTCATTTGCCTAGCCTCCTGGTTTCTGGAATTTCTGGTCTGCCATGACCTTCCCCTCCCCCCCTCAGAACCACTTGTTCTCACATTCACCTTCCCATCCCTGTCGTCATCTCTAAAATCACTAATTCAAGCATCTCACTCCCGTTCAACATACTTGTTCAACTACTCTCCCCCTCCCCATTACTGTCCTTTGTCCTCATCAGGACCTCTAGTTCACACAGGCCTCTCCTTTCCTTTTTGTCCTTCCCTTATCCAGCCTAGATTCCATAGTTTATTATCTTGGTAACATCTGTGCCAATGGCCTTTGCTCCCCAGTCCTCTCCATTTTGTTTGCAGAACCCTGCCCCTAGATGAATGCACTATCTGCTTCCTCTACGTCTTTGCTCAGGAATTCTTGGGCAAATTCATCTGACAGGGCCGATTACACATTATAGATTAGTCTTCTCTCACCTCATATGATCTTGAATACTGAAAAGAAAACTCTACCACATTTCCTAAGTAAACATTTCTACTGCTTTTTCTTTTCTTTTTTCTTTTTTCTTTCTTTTTTCTTTTTCTTTTTCTTTCTTTTCTTTTTTTTTTTTTTTTTTAGAAAGAGCAAGAGAGAAAGCAGGGTAGAGGGGCAGATGGAGAGGGAGAGAGAGAACCTTTTTTTTAGATTTTATTTATTTATTCATGAGACAGAGACAGAGAGACAGAGAGATAGAGAGCCAGAGACACAGGCACGGGGAGAAGCAGGCTCCATTCAGGGAGTCTGATGCAGGATTCGATCCCAATCCAATCCTGGATCTCCAGGATCATGCTCTGGGCTGAAGGTGGTGCTAAACCACTGAGCCACCTGGGCTGCCCCCATAGAGAGCAAATCTTAAGCAGACTCCACACTCAGCATGGAGCCTAACATGGGGCTTGATCTCACAATCCTGGGAGCATGACCTGAGCCAAAATGAAGAGTTGGACACCTAACCGACTGAGCCACCCAGGTGCCCCTTTACTGCTATTTCAAAGTTTATGCTACCCTCAAATCTCCAACCCTCTCTATCTCTCCTAGCAAATGATATCCCTTCTCCCTTCACTAAGAAAATTGAAACCATTAGGTAGACATTTTCCCAAATGTCTGCTACCAGTCCTACAAGCCTACCAAGCCTGCCCCTCCTTCCACTCCACACCTGTGCATGAGAGGAGATGTCTTCACTGGAGGTCACCATCACCTCCAGACACACAGGCCAGTGGGTAATTCTCACAATTAACATCAAGCCACCTCAAGCCACATTTGACATTATTGACTGTTCTCCATCTTAGGTCATCTCTTCAGTTAGCTTCTACGACACTACTATATGCACTTCAATTACTTCTTTGGCCACCTATGCAGACTCATTCTTCACTTCCTACCATGCTCAAGACTCAGCCCTAGGTTTCTTCTCTTCTCTCTCAAACTATGTCTCTTTCCAATCAAACATTCAAAAGTAGCAGCATCGAAGGCCAAGTTCATGATCTCCACCACAGATTTGTTCTTTTTCCCTTGTTCTCTATCTCAATGACTGTCACTGCAGTCCCTTCCACCTCAGTCTACTCCACTTCTCACCTCCGCTGATACCACACTAGTCCAATTTAGGCTGTCTAAATCTATCCTAGTCCTCTCATTTTTTTCTCTGCTTTGCAGAAAGACTGATGTTTTCATGACTCAAATGTCATCATGTCAACCCTCGTGCAATGGCTTCCTATTGTGCTTAGTATTAAACAAAATTATTTAACAGGATGGACCTTATCCTGTTTGATCATCTCCTACTCACCCCACCAGCCTTGTTTTGCATCACTCTGATCTTCATACCCTGCGCTCCAGATAAACTGGAGCACCACTTTCCATTTTGCTGCAGTACCTTTGCACATGCTGATCTTCTACCTACATTGCTCTTTGCCCGGCTCATCTCTTATCTTAGTTAGATGGAAGTCTTTCCTAACTAATTCAGTCTACTTCATGCTTACTTATTCTTCGGCTATTCCCCAGGGAAGCCTTCCCGAACATGGCCAGAGTGTTCTGTGATCTCAAAGAACTGGGTTCCTTTCCTTCATGGGTAGCAATCATCTCAATTTGTAATGATAGTCTCATTCCTGTGGGTTTGTAGATATCAGTCTTTAGAATATAAATTCTGGAATATGGTAGTTCTTGAAGGGGCAAGCCATGATTCTGGCCATCTATAAAACTTGGAGAAGAATGTTATTTTTTCTATTCCTTTTAAATAGAATCCTGTTCCTTTTAAATAGAATCCTCATAAGATAAGGCATTCACAAAAAATTCTAAGTGATATAAAAACTACTTCTATATAGAACCAACAAAATATTATTATTATTATTATTATTATAAGTTTCTTCTATGATGCAAGATAATCTAATATAAACTCCTAAATGTTTAAGCCCTACTGGACACCCATGTTTATTTTAGGGTCAATATATTTAGAGAAGTATGACATACGTGTGTGTTATACTCTGAGTTGCCTTGTTATAGTTACAATCATTTCTTATAATACAGAAACTTATAAGAAAAGTTTACAGTAGTTTGATTTGTGTTGTTTTAGATTATCCAAGTACAATTAAGCCAGTAGATATGCTTATCAAGGTATTTTTAAGAGAACTACAACCTGAAGTGGAGTAAAAGACATAAATGTTTATTGTCAGAATTCATTTTTCTCTTCATTATATTATTTCCATTTTATTATAAAAGTAACTGAAAGAGTAATGGAAATCAAGGGAAACTTCTTTAAGAAGAAAAGTATGAAGACATAGGAATGTGTCTCTAGTTGGCCCTTTTTCTATCATTGCTCCATATTTCAGTGATGACCTTCAGACAACGTGCTTCTCTCTGCAGGTTTACAGAGAGCCAGCGCAAGAGCCCCTTCACCCTACAGGAGAGACTTTGAGGCCAAGCTCCGCAATTTCTACCGAAAACTGGAAGCCAAAGGATTTGGTCAGGGTCCAGGGAAAATTAAGTGAGTGCTCCAGTGCTTGTCACTGAATTCGCATGCTAGATTTTTCTGTCCTTTTCTCCCTATACCTTTGTGATACTTTTTGGAGATTGAATTTCATGGTATGGTAACAGTTATATTCATAGTAGGGAGGAAGGTAAAAAAGAAGTTGGGAATAAAGAGGAAAGGCAGTTAGACTGGAAGAGAAGTAGGAAGGAAGGAAAGAGAAGAGGAAGAGAGAAAAAAACAGATTTCAGACAAAAGCATATACAAAATTAATGGTAGACTTTTTCAGAAAACCAAGAATTTTGAACTAAACAAAAAAAGTATGTATTTCCTTTTACTTTTTCTTGGGACAAATTTAACTCATAAGTCAAATTTGTGACTTCTATAACTTTGTAATTGAGATGAATAGTTGTATATTTCTCTTCTGGGTTTATTATTTTCATCTTTAGAATCTGAATCTAAACTCAAAATTCCAGCTGGAATTGATTTTTGATCAATTCCAAAAAGAATCCTAAAAGTAAAATCCGATGTGATGGGGTACATCCAATTATAAGAATGTACATGTTGTTCTCATGCTCCCAATATTTCCAAAAGAGCATTAAAATAAGTCTATTGCCAAACTAATGGAATCTGCACCTTGTTGGCGAGGCTGGAGAGTGAGACCATATAAGCTCGGGCACTCACAACTCATCCAGAACACTTTCCAACATCAGAGCTCGGAGCCACCACTCACTGCCCATATGAATTCTTCCCAGGCTCATCATTCGTCGGGACCATTTGTTGGAGGGAACCTTCAATCAGGTCATGGCCTATTCCCGGAAGGAGCTTCAGCGAAACAAGCTCTACGTCACGTTTGTTGGAGAGGAGGGGTGAGGCACCAGCAGTTTTATGCAGACATCTCACTCAGTGTGGGCAGGCCAGAGTCACCAGATCTTGGTGATTTTTCTCAAGAAAAAAACAGGGTGGCTCTTAACTTTTGCCCCAAGGTGATTCTTATCATGTCCTTCCAGGAGGTCTTTCTCTCCCCAGGTATTGCCAAGCCTTTAGAATTTATGCTCCTCAAAAGCCCAAGATTATTGGCATGTGCCAGGGTCTGAGCTTACGCACTTATACTGTGCATAAGCCAAAAATACAGACTTAAGCTATTGGATCTTTACTTTATCAGGTGGTGTACACTTTTGTATCTGATCAAAAATCTCTTCCTCCTAGAGTGCACATATACTACTACATAACAAATTTTTACAGCATTTCAGTGATTTTGTAAAAAAAAAACAAACAAAAAAAAAAAAAAAAAACTCTTAACCGTGGAGGCCAAGCCTATGTAGGAGGGCATATTGCATATTGGAACAAACCTGGAAGTTTTTTCAATTTATACACATGCACTATCACAGGAAATTCTTTTATGCCTCTCACAGCAAGGTCCTCATTTTTAATGGGCCAGGTATGTGCTTTATCCAATTGGTGTTATATGATTGAATAAAGGTTAAGAAACACTGCCATAAGAATTTATTCATGGGTATCTAAAACATATCCCCTAAACTGCATCCTCATTTTCTACAGCCAATTATGCTCCCACGGGGATCCACTGTAAAGAACAAAGGCTGCTCTCTGCTTTCCTTTGCACTGACTCTGAAAGAACACACTAGCACCTGGATAGAAACAGGCCCCCACCTCCCACATGTAACAAGCTTCCTGGGCCTCTGCTTCCTTTGCAGCCTGGACTACAGTGGTCCTTCGCGAGAGTTCTTCTTCCTTTTGTCTCAGGAGCTCTTCAACCCATACTATGGACTCTTTGAGTACTCTGCAAATGATACCTACACCGTGCAGATCAGCCCCATGTCTGCGTTTGTGGAAAACCATCTCGAATGGTAAGATCTGGAAGACTTGCTTCCTTATGCTTGAAGGTTCTGGTCTCTCTTAGTCAGAAGTCAGTAGTATGGACTTGAGCAGCACTAGTTCTTGTGTAGAGTAGTGGGCCAGATATTAAAAGGAGTGATGGGAGTGGACAACAAGGCCCTAGAAGGAAGACTCAGTTAGTTTTCACCCAGAACGTGAAATAAATTACTAAAGACACTGCACATTTACTATCAACTGCAAATTGATGTTGATGAGCCAGTAATTGCCTTCAGAGGAAACACTAAGGTAAGTAGACATAGCTGAATGTTGAAATTTTTACTAAATGTTGAAAAGTCTACTAATCATAAGAGTCCCCAGTGGAGGCGTCTTGGAGCTATTCATGAGTTTGAAATTTTTTGATTGTGGACCAGTGGCTCTAGGACTGTGGACGTGAGCTTCTACATCTTACTGTGAAGTAAGGCTGCTAGGCCAAGTGCTCTCTGAGCATCCCCCTGGCTTGAAAATCCATTATCTCTTTGGTTCTCTTTTATCAAGGCATCTATTACCACTTACTGAAATGTGTAAGAAGTTAAGTATCAGTCAACCCTATGCAGTTCTGTGTGTGAGATACCTCAGATATGGATATTAGAAGTCTCCAGAAAGCTGCATGGGACATCTAGGATGCAAGCTTTTTCCTGCTGTGGCACCACCACACCTGATTTGAAATTTATTCTTAGTCTCACTGTAGGAGCTCCTGCTGTTAGGAGGGAAATGAGTCCTGGAAACTGCTAATGTGGATTCTTATCTGACATTGCTCATTTATGATGTGTTGTGACAGCTGCTAGGGAAGGGAGCAACTGGGGTGATCCCTGGCCTCCTGGCTTAGAGCCCAAATGCCCACATTTTGTTTTAAAGCATCAGAATAACCCACTTCTGCTAAGACTTCCAGCTATTGCACATGCCCTCTCTCTCCAAAAACTCTTAGCTCTGAAGTTCTTGAGCTGAGGCAGCCGTGCATCTACATTAAGTGTTTGGCACAAGTGAGGAGCCAGAAGTTGCCCTTTTTTGTTCCTTTTCCTGTAACTTATCAAGAAGTGGATGCTGAAGTCTGTGAAGCAGAAACACAGAGTCAGGGCAGATGGAGCAGACGAGTGGCCCTTAAGGGGAGTTATGACCCCAAGAACTGAATGCCAGCTCTGACTTAGGTCACATCAGGCAGTTGTAACAGTAGAAACTGCTGCAGCACCCATGACACAAGAGCACATACAAATACATATTATACTTAATATGATCCCTCAATCATCCTTTAGTTTGCGAACATGAAATTTAACATGAAAAAAAAGAAATTTAACATGATGTCTTGAAAGTCATAAATTAGATTCAGCAATCAATAAAGAAATATTTTCATCAAATATTATACCACATATGACTATGCTGAGGTGTTGTGGGGATACCTTCATTAATTCACCAGTTATAAATCAAGCACATACTATGTGCCAGGAGGATACAAAGATGAAATGAGAAAGATCTTCCCTCAAGGAGTGGTGGAGTGGTGGTGGGAGCAGCATATGAGTAGACCAACAACTATGCATAATGTCTTAAATGCCTGGTTATGCATGCTTAACACACGTGCGCATGTGTATGTATGCAAGCCTAAGATGCATATATAATTATGCCTGAGAATTATATTAAATCACAAAGAAAAATGTCTCACTCCACCCAAGGTAGGAAATGGGGTGTGGGAAGTGAAGCCAGTGGATCTTATAAAAAGAGGGGATGGCTACATCAAATCTTAAGGGACAGTTGAGTAGGAGACTCAGCAGAGAAGGAGAAAGAAGATATACCCAGGAGCCAGATTAGGAAGTAAGAATTGAAAGGCTATGAGAGAAGCCTTAAGCAAGCAGTGTAGACAGTTCAGAGCAGAGAATGAACTCAGGGTTGTGGTGGGAAGTGAGGTTGGGACGGAACAGAGGCAGATGGTCATACCATCATATATGGTGAATACTGTAATTGGATTTGTGGTTTTGAAAAGTAAATCTTGTCATAGCGTGGAGACACATTTGAGGAGGTAAAACTGGAAAGAGCAAGACCAGCTCTAAAGCTATTGATGAGTCAAGGGGGAGCAATAGAGATTCAAACTCAGGCAGAGGTGATGTCTGAGAAAGGAAGGGACTGACTTGAGGGCCACCTTGGAGAAAGAAGAGAACTGTTTGCTTCACTGAAGGAATGTTCACTGAGGTGAGGGAGGGAGAGAAGTATAGCATATGTCAGAGGTCCTGGATGAGTGGACTGATACTATACGATGGGAGTTATGTGAAGTAAATGATATTCAAATGTTTTATTTACTTATTTGAGAGAGAGAGAGAGAGAGAGAGAGAGAGAGAGAGAGAGAGCACATGAGCTGGAGGAAGAGGAAGAGGGAGAAAGAACCTGACGTAGACTCCACGCCAAGTATAGAGCCCAACATGGGGCTTGATCTCACCACCTCGAGATCATGACCTGAGCAGAAACCAAGAGTCAAATAATCAATTAACTGAGCCACGTAGGTGCCCCTAAATAATATTTATAGGAAAGATAATGAATTTACTCTTTGGCAGGTAGTTTTCAGTTTCTCCTGCAAAGACAGATTGATGTATTATGTAACTAGAACTATGGCCCTGGTTAGCAGGAAAACATCTGGGCTAGAAATTGAGATTTGGGAGATGGCAGAGTGAATCAGTTTTGAGAGAAGATGAGAGCCCTCAGAGCTTATGCAGAGGACAACCAGAGCCAAGGCCCACAACAAGGTGGACAACGTGGATGTACAAGCATGCATGGAGTCGTAGACCCCTGAGAAAACTAAGAAGGAGCAGCCAAAGAGCTGAGCTCCTTGAAGGAACATGATACAAGAAGGAGCATCGTGGTGGAAGCAGAAGGTGCTCAGGAGAGACCCTCTGGGAGAGAGAGAGGCAGCCTAGAGAAGAGGAGCAGAGGGGATGTGTAGGCAATAGAATGGGGTCTCCAGGGCTCCAGAGCATAGGATTTGGTAAACAGAACTGAGGGGATCAAGGAAGTAAGAGCATTCAGATGACCAAGGGAGCTGCATTTGGATGGTGGTCTAGGGTAATATGGTAAGCACCTTAGTGGCATTACGGGACCCAACATTTTGAAGGAAACCTTGCAGTCAAGCACATTTTAGTGCAAACACAGAGTAAGGCCACAAATAAAGACCTAATGAGAAGCACAGAACTTGCAGGACCCGTGGCATGCTACTTGAGAGTGGCCTCAGTCACTTTCCACTGGGGAAGGTGGCTAGCCCGCTGCCTGGCTCCTGCTCTCAACTTGACTTGGTTGTCTTCTGTTCCTCTATGAGGAGCTGAAGACAGCTATGTCAATGTGTAAGTTATACTTTATCGCAGTGAGGAGGGACACTGTGTTATACATGGATGTTGCATGCATTAGCAGAATTCTCTGGATGGACCCTTTATCAAGGATATTCTTCCATCCTCCAGTCCCACTGGCCAAACCATCCATCCATAAACTGGAGGACAAGGGATCTCCAGATATTGCATCCCATAGCAGCCAGTCCCCAAGGTTACTTTGCAAGGCAAATAACAGTGGGAAACCCATGAAGATGGAAGGCAAGGATTAAAAATGACCAGAAGAGCCTCTACAGCTCAGGACTTTCAATCCATCCACTAGAAATACTACCATTTGCTAAATCATATGTGTCTATCATATGTGTCTTTGACTACAGAAATCTCAAAATAACATTCCAAATTCTATATCTTTATTCTTTACCATTTCCATATTAATGAGGTGTTCATATGTTGATCTTTTTATTATTTTAATCTCTATCATGTGCTGGTTTTATAACCCTGAAGATACAGAAGTTAATATAAAGCTAAATAATAAAACATCCATTGAAGGCTTACCAACCATGCCAGGCACTGTTCCAGACATTTTCGTGTAACCATATTATAACCCAGATACTGATTATCCTGCTTTTACACATGAAGACAATGAGGTATAGACATAACCAATGTTATGACCTAAGTGTTTTATGTCCTGGAGGTAAGCAGCAAACTTCCCTAGGATTATAGTGTTACATGTCATAAAAATTTTATTATATATATATATACCTCAGTATGCACTTATCATATTGTATAAGGAGCTTTGAGGATGAGTGGGAATAAGGGACTTCCAGATAGGGATCCCAACATTCACAGCAGGACAGGGGGTTAACACACACATGTCCATTTGGTGTGGCTACAAAATAGACATAAAGAAGCTATAAAGTCATCATCATATCAGTAGGAAGAGGCATCTGATAGCATTCCAGGGAGTTTGTATTTTATCATGAAGATGACAATGTAATATTTTTAGAGGAATGTCTTATATTTTAGAAAGCCAACTTGCTTACAAGTAGTTGAATAGGAGTGGGCATTAGGGGTGTCATTTAAAAGACTCTTGAAATAGTTCTTTCAAAAGAAAATCAATTAGGACAGAAGCAGTGGAAATGGAGTTGTTTCAGAAGGAAAGTGGACAAATGAACAAAACTTGGTGTGGGATTATAGATGATGGGTTAAGTATTCAAAATTCTCCACCTGTTATAAAGTGATGTATAAGAAAATACCAGGTAAAAGATCCTCTTATATTTTTAGTGGAAGTGACAAAACTATAAATGTGTAAAACTTCAAACTTATTTTTATGTCTAATAGAGTATGAATGGTGCAAAATGCATATATTTTCAAATTATTATGCTTGAATAGGAAAGATTCACGTTCAGCTTAAACATCTCCTCTCAGGGCCTTCGCTGATCACTTGATTTAAAATAGCCCATCCATTTGTACCTCTCCAATTTAACAGCTTTTCATAATGACAGAATTTATTTCTTTATGAAAGTATATTTATATATTTATCTTGTATACCTTTAACTCATTATTATTTGCCTCTCCCCCTAGAATGGAAGCCCTGTAAGACCAGGGTCTTGTCTTTCTAATCACAAGCCTGGCACTCAATAAATATGTGTAGAAGCAAAGAAAAAAGTATG